ATAATTAGACATTTTTATGGTCAATTTAATCCAGAAATATAACATCAGCAGGTTCATGACAACATATATGTGCATGTGTATATCACTGACGAACGCTACAACATGCAGACATGACATACATATGGATACAGTAAGAACGCAAAGTACGGTAATCACAGAGTTAAGAATGTACCCAGCGGAGGGTCCCATGCCAAGGGCATCGGAGGCTCCATTCGCACTAGTCGACATAGTGCGTTGCTTGAAGTCGTGGATCACAGTCGATGCAGGATGGTGTTCGCAGTGCAGTCCCATGAACGGATCACCAGGAAGAAGACGGGTTCCGTGAGCGATCACCAGGAAGAAGACAGGTCGTGAGGAAGATGTCAAACGAGCAGTCGCGGAATCGCTCCCCAAAAACCTAATCGCCGCACACCCCGTGCAAGGTTCGCAGCGGACGAGGGTTCCATGCGCGCAGAGGTACGGAACGGGGAAGCCAGAGGGCTGCTGAGATGTGGTCTCTCTCGGAAGCGAAGCGGGAGATCTGGACTAACGGAGGACTCCGGATTTATGGCTGCGACGGAAAGGAAGAAAGACAGCGGAGAATCCCAGAGATGGAGAGCGGAACTAACGGAGGACTCCGGATTTATGGATGCGATGGGAAGAAAGAAAGGCAGCGGAGAATCGTAGGAGACGGAGAGCGGAAGAGACGGTAGCTGGCACAATCGGTTCGCCTCCACCATCAAGGAAAGAAACTCCCGTGATTATGTGGATTAAATGGCAAAACCTGGCCACGGCCGCCCGCCCGCCTTGCCCACGGCCCCGCCCGACGGCGGCGCGCGCGGTGTGGCACCCTTTGTCCTTTTCTTAGCTTCTCAATTAAGATGGATAATTTCTATCCATGTAAGCCAAGTAAACGTTCAATCAAAATCTCATATAGTATTAAACCATACAACGCTTAATGTTACGTAACATAGAGTTTATTTGATTTATTAAATATTATACGGGACCAAGCCCATAATATATCCAACACTTTATTATGTGGATTTGTCCCCAAGTGTATTTTTGCCATATGATCTCTCATCCCAGCAGAAAAATCAAATCGAAAATAAACTCTCTTCATGCAATTTTTGTTTAATGCCTGCAGCTTAGAGCAATGTTCACCGACTTCAATCCTTCAGGGGTACATGACGCAGTTGATACTGGGACGCATCTGGGGAGGGGCGGATATGGCCTGGGTGATGTACCTCTGAAGCGGGAGTTCAACCAAGAGGTAAGTAAAATAATTGTTACTGGGACGCATCAGAGGTACAAGGCAGAAATTCGAAAAACAATTGTTGCTGTAAAGAATAACAATTATGGAAGTAAGCAAGGAAAGCGGGAGTTCAACCAAGAGGTAAGTAAAATAATAAATACTCCTAAATAATACTCTCTCCGTTCCAAATTATAAGTCACTTTGACTTTTTTTTTTCATTCATTTTGCTATACATAACAAAATAAATGAACCCAAAAAGTCAAAGCGGCTATATATATATATATAATCTGAAGAATCTAACAGCCTTACTACGTTCTTACTATGTTTTACTAGAATAATGATTATGTAGACAAATTATTAAGCTGATTCGATCGTCTTCTTAGGTGAACTCGTTCACAGGCTATGTGCTCCTCCCTATAGTTCAAATTATAAGTCCTTTTATTTTTTATTTTGCTATATATTGACATATATAGTGCTTAGATAAACCAAAATGACTTATAAGTTGAATAGAGAGGGTACTCTTTATTTCTTGCTTAGTAGAGTACTCCCTCATCCCCAAATAAACAATTTCTAAAGCAATCCTAAGTTCATTTTTTTTGTATTTTATTGAATTTGTAGAAAAGAATACAAATACTTATAACATCAAATTAGTATCATTAGATATACCATAAAATATATTTTCATAGTGTGCTTAGTTGATTTTAAAAATATTGACGCTTTTTTCTATAAATTCGGTGTTGATTTAATTAGGGATGAAGGGAGTATATTTTTCTCAAGTGCTTCTAACATGCTCTTGTTCTCCACGCATGTAATACAACATTTAAGAGCATCTCTAGTCTTTCTAAATATCACTCTTTAAATCATTATATAGAGAGTCATTTGCATAAAATTTGTTTTTTTATATCTTTCCACCCTTCAATAGTTTTTCATATCTTATTTACACTTTAGAGAGCCATTCTCTTTTCTATCGTTGACTAGTGAGATCTGGAATACAAGATTGTTATATTTGGATAACCAATTAAAGAAGCTGTTGACGGTTATTTTTTTTCACCAAAATCTCTATTCCTAGCAATTAGAAACGATATAGATAGTCTTTTGGAGTTGCTCTGACAAGGCGCTTCCGACAAACCACATAAATTTATCCAATGTAAATAGCAAGCTTGTGTTCTCGAATCCTGTTGTTAACACTGATCCAAAAGTGCAGGTTGTGATCCTGAGAAGTACCCGACATGAAAACCTGGTCACACTAATTGGAATATGCAGTAAGAGACTCGCCCTAATTTATGTATTTTTACCCAACGGCACCCTTTTAGATCGTCTCAATGGAGAATCCTTCTCATGGGAAGAAAGAATCGAAGCAGCCACGAGCATCTTCACCGCTCTTGAGTTCCTCCATAGTGCCAAACCTAAGCCAATTGCTCATTGTGATCTTAAACCAATCAACATACTTTTCGATGCAAACAACGTATGCAACGCTCATCGACTTTGGAATCGCCCGTCTCTTAAATTATAAAAGTGATACAGCAACACCTGGCCACACTACTGAATTTGGGAGTGGTAGCAGGTACTATATTGACCCGGAGTTCATCCGACATAGCAGACTGACCCCTCAATCAGATGTGCACGCTTTGGGTATCATACTGCTGCAGTTAGTCACAGCGAGAGATCCAGAGAATCTAAGATATGATGTAGAAGAACACAATGTCGGTGAACAGCTCGTGGATTCTAGACTGGAGTTGGATGACAGGTCAAAACCAGACGCTGTGGAAATGATGCGTCTAGGTCTACAATGCACGGAAAGATCGCCCGGACTTGGCAACTGAAGTGCTTCCGGTGCTTGAATCCATGAAAAGCAGAGCCTCCCGTTGATGCAGTCAGTGCTCCACTATCAAGATCAGACAAGCACTGCCCAATCAGACCCTTGTATGGTGTGTTGTGTTCTATTTCCCGAATGTGTGTCGAGACTCGAGAGCTTTTCTGATGTGCTAATAGTTGAGATTCGGACATTATACATGTGTCTGAAACATATATGTACAACAGGGCCTTGGTCTGTACGTTTCATTATGCTCCATTTCCCAATTGTCATGCTTAATCAGTAGCATTGTTTTCATCCCTCAGTCACAGAATAAATCAACTTTTATAATTGTCCGGAATCGTTTATTTTCACAAGAAAAATATCGCAAACATGAAATTTTCCTACATTCAGGTAGTTCAAAGGATAAAAGAGTTCTCATGCACAAAAAACCGTCCCACCTTGCTTGCGCATGCGATGGAAGTTGTCGTTTTCCTCTCTTGTACTTGTACACTAGGGGCTTTGTACAGAAATAATCAAGAAAGAAAGACCACATCTCTTGGCGTCGTACTCGCCCCAGAATGCCTCGCACAGCCCTGACCGTCACCTGCTCCGTCGTTTCCGATGGAAGGTCTTCCTGGACAAGCAGAGTTTCGAGGTCCGGTGAAACGACTACGGTTCTGAGCCGCGCGTTTTACCCGTTGCAAAATGCTTCACGCGCGACAATTTTTGTTACGTACGCGTGGTACAAAATGATAGTCAGTCTTCTGAAACTCTCACTGTCTATCCTACAACAGAGCTACGTAGATGTAACGCTTTGCTGTTCGCTTGCTCGTAAATGATTGTAAATTTCCAGTCAGAACAATATTTTTCTCTCACACCAAACCAGCCAGCAGTAAATAATCCACGATCATTTACGGCCTCCCGAACAGGCTCTTATCTCCACCGATAATGTAATCAGCTCATTAAGTAATCAAGCGTTTGCTGGGCCTGTTGCGAGCACTCTAATCTGCAAACATTCAGTCAAATTAGTTCGCAGGCGTCACCCACCCTTCCCAGCATGTTATCACAGCCCCGAACATATACAGAGACACAGCTATACAAGTTATTGTTCTTGTACAGTTATGTATTAATTCAGGATCAAATGACTCAAAATCAATGCATCGAATGGCTTTACACGCATATATTATGCTCAAGATGTACACAAAGCATTCCCCTACTTATCTTCCTCACTCTGTTGATCTTCTCTCAGTTCCCAGATCAAAACCAACAAACATGGCAGCGAGTGACCTAGCAGAGATGGGGAGGCTGTTCAACCCAACCTTTCCGCCCATCCAAGTTGAATGGCAGATACGACCAACCAACTCTTACGACATGAAGAAACGGGGAAAGGAATAGGGATTCATTTTCATTCATCATTATTAGTTTCGGTTCAGTTACAACTTCTATGTCAAAAAAAAAATATTACACTCGTCATGTATCAATTCCCTAACGCAGTCAGATGCTGCAGGGGACATCCACAAACAATGCCCAGCACAAAAAAAAAACATGAACTACGACTACCCACTGCCGCCACTAAAATAAAATGAAGCAGGGTAGAAATGGGTAAATCCTACCGACCTAGCATACCTCATCTAATCCCCTAGAACAGACCAAACCATCAGGCAACAGTTTAAACACCAGCACTTGCCGGTGCCATCCCTCGAACAGAATTTACAGAGATTAAGCCTTAGCAACAACAGAAGTCGCGCAATGGTAGGCCGGTAAGTAGGACAAGACAAACGGGTAAAACATGGCTGCACCCTTGCTGGGACACCGGAATCTACAGTAAGAGGCCACACATAGGTTGTGACCTGTATCACTATCATCTATATCTCCAATCTACCTGACCGTGTTGTTATGCTGCCAGAGAACTGAAAAGCTTCTAAATGTAGATAGAATCTACAGAGATAGCCAGGAGCACTGTCATTACGATGCTCATGAATCCGCGTCTTTCTTCCTCTTCCCCTTGTTTCCAGACCTTGCATTGTCAGCTGGCTCGGGGTTTGGAGCAGGATCCTTTGTGTACATGATGCAGTCGTCAAGGGTGTAGATCCTGAGAGCAAGCGACGATACGGTTGTTGTCTTGATAGCTGCAGTGAAGGAGGACCAGTACCACCAATCTTTCTTCAGGAATTCGGCTTTTATCATGCTCTGCAAGAAGTTGATTGCCAATACCACCTAAAAGAGGCACAAACATGATTAATCCGTAACTGAATCATACTACAATTATCTCTAGGCTTCTAGCATAACTAAAACTGCAATTTCCCAGACTTGAGTTAGAAGGAACAGACAGGATTACAGATTAGGTCCCACTACCACTTGGATCTGTCACACTGCCATTTGCTAATTACATCCTAAATTCTAGGATTCGTTATCGGCCTTATTTCTCAGTTTGGAGACTACAGATCATGCACTAGTCATTTTAAGTCAAACATAGAGGGCAGCTAACGTAAAATTCAAAATTTCAAATGCAAGGTAGCATGGGAGTTTAGATTAGGAGCAATAAGTCATAAATTAGGAATAAGAAAAAAAAATGTAGGAGATTATCTGCTTAGGAAAGTAATGAGATTTGTTAGGAACTAAAAATGGTGCCTGGAAACTCACTGAAAATGCAAATATTACTATTCTAAAAAAAATTCAGTAAATTGGAAATACACAAATAGGGTGACGTACATATGATATTAATTCTGCATCCTTCACAAAAGCACGCCATGAACGTCTTCTTATTTGCTGAGACTTGGAGGCCCTGAATGCTTCCTCAGGCAAAGCTGCTTCTACATCAAGCAAGTTTATCTTTAGCTGCTTCAGGATATGAAAATTCCTGCCTATCACAGGCATCAGTGATGACTCTGGAACCAAGCCCCCATTAACAGTTAGCAATCTTGTTGGTTTGTCTGTTGAAGGTGCTTCCTTGGCTGAAGTACTATCCCTAACAGGCTTCTTAGATTTTGGCATCTGCCCATCACCTGCATTGCCAGAAAAATCTTGACCAACTTGGGATCCCTCTTGCCCAGACATTTTGGCATACATAGCTTGGCATTCCTCCAATGAGGAAGTCCAATCATTTGGTTTATCGTCATTTCTTTTATTTTCATTTAGCAGAGCTGGCGGGTCAAGGAAATATGCAGGTGAAGGCACAAAAGATGGGATTCCATTTGATCCAAGTAGCCCAATCTCCTTCACTGTCTCCTTGTTTGAATCATTTGTGATAAATTTTCTACAAATTTCTTCAAAGTCATAAGGGCATGACTCCAATTTTCCACTGTTAGATGGTTTGATGGAACAATTATGATCTACAGGATCTTTTTCCTTTATATCAGTCTTGGTACCCTTCAGTTTTGGCTCATCATTTTCTTTACTTTCACTAGGACAGTCGTTACTGCTGTTGCATTTTCCACCACTATGCCCTTCATATTCCATCAATGTGAGATAAGTTTCATGACAATTTAAGCAATGGTGTCGAGAAGGCCATAGAGGCTCTAAACAGTCACAGCGATATACTCTTTCTTCAGAACCCAACTTTGACTTCCTTCCTCTCTTTTTGGATAGCTCACTAGTGTCCTGATCCAATTGCAGACCATACTTTTGCTCCAAAACTATAAAAGCCTTGGTGTTTGGAAGTTCCATAGGTGGTTCACTCTTTGAAGACTTGGACACTGGAGGATCAGTGATGGGAAAACTAGCCTGGTGATAAAGAGACTTTTGCCAGTGCAAGATAGAGTCTTTCAGGTCCTTCTCCCTTGGATCAATGTCTCTTAGCCAGTCAACAAGACACTTGATTTCTTCATCAGATTCATACATAACAAGCGATGCTGAATTCCAACCTCTATCAAATGTTGACTGAGAATGGCTTGTAACCATGCTAATGTCTCTGTCTTTGGGTATCAGCATGCTTCCATCTGCAACAAGATGAGGACGCTTACTAGGTCTTCCTGTAACCCAGTACAATCGACCAACAGAATCCCTACCCAGGCACTCTCTTCTCAAGAATGCCATACTCAGCTGTGATTCTACTGTGCTAATTGAATCCTGCAACTGTGAAATCCTCTCCAATAAATTATTTGATTCGTTGTTATCAGCATCATGGTCAACCGATTTAGATGTCGATGTTTCAATATTGTCTTGGGATGATGCCCTAGCATTTTCATCAGGCAAATCTCCAATTGGTGCATTGATAACTGTAGCAGAATGAGCCTCTCCCACATTCAAGTTATCACAAGTACCACTTTTGCCACCTAATGATTTCTCACAACTTTTGGATCCTTCACCAATAGAGTCCAGATTGGTCCAGTCAGTAACTATCTCTGATGGTTGTTTTGAAAGTCCCAAAGATTTACTTCCTTCAGTAACAGATGTGATGGATATGCCATTGTCAGTACTGCAAGGTTTACCCACATTCAATAGCCCAGCAGGAACCCCTTCAGCAGGGTTGCTGAGGTTAACTCCAACATTAACCTGTTCAGCCTCTTCAAAATGCTCTGATGCTGTGGGCATAGCACGCTGCTGATTCTCCACAAGTCCTGAACTATTGCCTATTTGGTCATTTTTCATCCATCTACTTTGTGTAGCATATTGAGTTTTTATTTCTACCCGATACTTCAACTCTTTCAGTTCATAATTCAGATGACGTAATTTCTGCTGGAGATCATTTGACTTGTCTGAACACTGATCTAGATGTTCCCTGATGAGAGCTGTGTTGTGCAATTCGTCACATAGAAATTTCAGCAAATATATTCTCTGCAATTGAAGATCAAAATAACATATCAGAAGGTTGTCACTTATCTGCTATAGAAAATAGGATGACAAATAGCGTTCATGGTAATACAACCCCCGCTGATCAAAGGCCTATTTGTTTTGTAATCTTGTTGCAGATTACAAAGCTTGCATGTAGATTACGTTTATGGCTTTTTCCTCTATACGGCCCTTATTAGATTCTTTCCTAAGAATTTAAACATGCTGACAACACAAACTAACATCTTCCATAACTGTGATTTCCTAAATCTATGTGACCAGTCAAAATGCGCTGTATAAAAAAGAGTGGGTCTTAATAGTACAGTAAAAATATAGTGCGGAGCACATCCATGAACTGATGAAAGCATCCCTAATTATTGATTGGGGAAAAAGACTTGGAAGATATCAACAAAAGAAAAAAAAAGTGTTCTGCTAGAGGATGAGTTCTGATAAGTTTAAGCCCTGAAGCTTGAGTGCCCATATGATCTCACAAATGCAAAATCTTAAGCATTTAAAATAACTTTAAGAGGATATATTTGCATGTTCACCCACTTCCTTTGTCAGGGATGAAGGAACACTAAAGCTTTTAAGTAAACGATAGACAAAATACATGAAAAGCATTCAAAGAGTCTCGAGCCGATAACTTCACTTCAATTCAAAGATAAAGAGATGAGACAGACCTCGGCTACGCTAAGCTCCCAGTACTCTTTCTCATCCATCGCAACAGCTAACTTGTTGAGTTTCTCAATAAAAACATGAGCTTCCTCCCCAAGGCACTTCTTTTGTTCTTGCACTGAAACATGAGTTTGGGCAGTACATGACGGGCAATACCAGTTTCCAAGCGGTATGCGTGCCAGTGGCGGGTTCAGGCAATAAGTGTGGTATTCAGAGTCACAAGTATCACATAGAAGGACGCTCTCATCATCTCGATCGATTCCACAGACTTTGCAGACACCATCCTCCCATGGTGCTTTGGGTAGCTTATTGTTTGCTGCTGTGAGAGCATCTTGTAGCTCCTGGTGGATTTCTGAGTTACCATTTTCATTGCTTAGATATTTGTCAAATTTCTCAACAAGGTCTTGTACCTGCACCAGCCAAGTAAACGATGTAGAGGAACGTTCAGTAAAAAAAAATCATGATCATACTACTTAATAAACAGAAATTTTCGCAGTAAGGCCAATGTATAAAGCTGGTATCTAAACATTACCACTGGGAAGCATAGATTTGTTAAGGTATAATAGTCAAAGGGCATTAGTGTAATCTCTCTAGTCTATTTACAAGTGCGAGTGCTAAAATAGAATTTTCCAGAACAAAAGGAACTCTCTGGAGTTTGTTAACAATTTGCAATCACTTCAGAGAACTAAGAGAGATGAACTAGTAGTTATTGGAAAACCAAGCTTTAAGACACATTAACAATACCATAATGGAAGGTTCTTATGAATATAGTAAGCTAAAATCACACATCCCTGAACATAAAAGGCAAGATCGTACAGGGACAGATAGGAATAACAAACCTCTGCCTTATACAATGACTCAAAACTCTCAGACAGTGCAGCAACCATGACTACCACTTCAGGTCGATCAGCAAATGCAGTTTGCAGATTACGGATTACCTGCAGGTAAACACAAAGGCACCATAATCTGAATTTGACCATGGAATTTCTTGCAGAGTTGAAGTAGAAGTGGCGAAAAGAGGACATCGACAAAAAGGACAACAGGGAGAAGACATCCCCTTGAGCTTAAAGCTTAAGCGAGGGGAATACCAAATCCTTTAGGGAGGGGCTTCTCAGCTCAAGGCTCTACTGACCAAATTATTGCTCAGCTCTTTAAAATACCACATAAATAAATATATTTAACAACTTTTTCCACTGCTCAGTTAGACACAGATATTAGCAAAGGCGCTCCAAAAAATACAATATCTCTTTGGTTGCATATCTTGAACTGAGCTCATATTTTGAACACATGAATTTGAATAATAGAGTTTCAAGACTAAACTAAATACATTATTCTAGACTCAGCTTCTTTGCTGGATAGTTTGGCTCTACCTTAGACAACCTCATCAGCATATACTGCATAGTAAAGCTCAGTCTACAGAACTAATGATGTGTGAGAGAAAAAGGGAGTCATGTGTCATGAAGATATGGGCTATTCATATTCTTATAAAGAATAAAAAATTAATCTCTCTTCATGAGTTAACATAATAATAGTTTAAAAAGATTTTCTCAAAAAAGAGGAAAGAATGGATCATAAGATGTGTGAACAATAAGCCATCACATTTCAATAAAAGGGCAGCCCCAGTGCCGGAGGCTCCCACATGAGTGGGGTCTGGGGAAGGGAAAAACCGAGGCAAGCCTTTCCCCCGCAAAATCTGACAGAGAGGCTGCTTCGAACCCACGACCTGGTGACTCAATGAGACAGCTCTCACCACTGCACAAGGCCTGCCCTTCAAGCGATCACATTTCAATACAAATACAAATAAATAAAAGTGGCGCATGGATATCGGTATCACTGCATTACTGAAATAAATAGCAAGATTGATAAGTAAATTGCGATCATAACTGAATTAAACTTAACACAACACTAGGGTTCTTTCACAATTAAGTCATAATACATGCGGCAGTCCATGGGCTAAAGCAGGCATAATGACTAATTTTTGGCTATGAAAACCAGGCTCTAGACCCCTATTAAAGACCAGAAAGGCATACTGCAATAGCAGTAAACTGTCATGAAATTAATGATAAAATACCTAAATCAAAGAAACTGTCAGTCAAAAGGTTACAAGTGGAAGTGGTACTGTAACACAACTATCTATTTTTCATGGAAAATGGCAGAAGAGGACAGTACCAAATAACACATCATTTCAAGCTATCATAAAAGTGCAAGGAGATTCCTCAAAGGCACATTACAAGAAAAATATAGCATGCATCAACACTGAATAATACAGAACAAGGTGTCAAAGAAAACATACTTCTTGTACATCATCAAGAAAAGCCTCCCAAGATCCACGATAAGCTCCCTTAGCCAACCTTATATCAATTGTGCGGAAGTCCAAAGGGCGAGATACCATACCAGGAAATCCAAGGATGCCCTCATCCTCATTCTCATTGGAATTTGTTAGTGTTGTTCCAAGCAAATTAGCAAACTGCTTTGATTCATCAGAGGAAATAGCACGCCGCAGGGCAATACGGCACCTTTTCAAGATAGCCACTGAGATGGAGATAATATTTCTTTCCTTTCTTGGTTTTTCTGTATTCTGGGGCACTTTTGTACGACAGGCCTCTGTCAAGACGGATAAGACAGCTTTCTGAAAAATAAACATGCATTTTAGTACATTTTCCAATAATCTCAGTCATAATTTTCCCAAAGCTGAGTTCATTTCTTGTCCCTCCCTCTCAGTAACTTTTGTGACAAATCTAAATGTATTGTTTTTAGCTTAGTTTGAATGCGTGTATAATGGCCTTCCAACCTGGTGCCATTCCTCTTCTTGCAACTATATGTCACATTTCATCAGAATGTGCTGACGGCAGTAAGTTCAGATTAAATTTCTACAACAAATTTCCTGATCAGATAAGCTACAGAAGCAAAAGCATGTTAGAAGAGCACCTGAGTGGGAACAGGCGTCTCTACAAGGTAGTAAACCTTGGCCAACTAACCAGAAAAAATTCCAACAAAATTGGTTGCTCAATATTCCACTTAAGAAACAAATAATATCTAGGGCTATCCGAAGCCTACGTGACCAACCTCTTTGATGTACCAATAGTTCATAGCATATAATGACATACTAAAAAGAACAAACATGTAGTAAGGTTCACTACTTTGAGTAAACACATGCAGAATGTAAGGAAGTACATGAAAGAAATTTTCTTCTCACTTAGTAGCAGCAGGAACTTTACAAACCTTGGTTGGTCCAGATGCATTACCCTTGTAGACCTCTTTACTGATTGAATGCTCCAAAATTTTCTTTGCCCATTCTGGAGGTTTTCTGTCCAAAGCTTCATAAACGCACTTTCTTATTCTTGTTCCCACATTAGTTGGCAATTTTCTCACAGGCTCCAGTGATTTCACCCAATCTGGTAATGTAGTGTCACTAGCAGGCTCCTCTGGAGAATCTACAATATCAGCATCCTGGTAATCCATCATAAAGACCTTATTCCCTTCATTTGCTGAAGAATTGCATATCAAAGTTTCAGCCTCTGCAAGCAGCTGAAATACAAGAAGATTATTGCTAATGATATGCACATATAGCTGTCAAACTAGAAATTTTACAATTACCTCCTAAGTAGATAATCATAGTATTTTTTTCTATGCATAATTGTGGGAGATGGATTATAAACAAAGAGTGATAGATACCATAGCACAAAGCAACACAGCATCCATTACGATATATGATATCAAAAATAAAAATATATGACATAGCTGGACAAGAATTCGCTTCTTTTCCAGCGAAATCTTCCCCAGCAGCAGTATAGAACAAATAATGAAAAAACATGTAATGAACAATACGCTAGTATAATTTGGAAAATAAATAGTTACAGATGATGCTAGCATGGCTAGAAAGATTAAATTAGCTTTTCTTTAATACTTATTTCCCTCTACGAAGGCTCACTATTCCCACGTAAGTGTCAGATTGTGTAATCTATGACATATTACATATACAATAGAATTCAGCCTCCCTGCTGAAGTATTGATTATAGAAGTTGATACATAGAACAAAGAAGTTCAACATAAATGGATGAAAAGATGACCAAAGCAAGAAAACTACACTCACTGAAACTGTCTAAATTTGAAGACAGAGACAGGACAAATTGGACAAATTACATATCTAAATAAATCAGAAGTGCAAGTAAAGCTAACAAGAAGAAAACTCCTCACCGATGCATCTTTCTCCATGCCAACAACCCCAGGTAGAGCTCCACACAGGATACCACCATCACCTTGTAGGCAGCGGAACAATTTCACTCCTTCTCGACTAGAAATATCAGATAAATCCATGCAGCCACTCATGGAAGAAACAGCTAAAATATATCTTCTAGCCAACTCTGGCCAAGTCAAGTTGTTAGCAGTCAGCATATCAATCTTTAACTCTCTTGTCAGAGTATCAGTGTCCCTTTTTCTTCCTCGTCTGGATTTGGATTCCTTTAAATCAATTTTTGGATCCACAAAAATTGCAACTCTAGATACAAGTTCGGTGAAAAGAATCTTCAAGAGTGCAAGGTGGATCTCAGGCAGCACTAAACCACTACATCTCCCAAGTGTCTGGGCAGCCAACTTATTTTGAGCAGCTTCTCGTGATGAAGTTTCAACTGGAATAGACACAGATACCATTTCTTCAATAGTTATACCTGATTCACCATTCGAATACGATGTAGAGACATTAGCAGGTGAATTCATTGGTGGAGTGTGATCTCTGTAGTTTTGGTTATCATTTTGATTCACGTGAATCGGCCATGGGTCAATGAGTTCATCTTCTACTTGCTCAATTGAAGGAAGTTCTTTCAGGCCGATGATTTCACCAAATCGTCCAAGAAACTCAAATATCTACAAGCGCAGACAACCCAGTTGCAAGAATTAGAATCAAGAAATCAACAAATGAAAAGGTGCTTCCTTAAACAGTGGAACAAGTGAAAGAAACAGGAACCAAAACTACCTGGAAAACATCCCCTGCCAATTCTGGTGGAAGCTTGCGGCTAATAGGATTTCCTGGAGGAAGCTCACGGATGCTAAAAGAGCTAGGCTGAGCATGATCCTGTGGCCCATTCACTACAGATCCATGTCTACCGTATGACATGACATCCCCATGCAACGGACTATTTTTATTAACAGCTATCAGTGTGCCACTTGCAATCGTCAGCGAAGAGTTAATTCCAGTCCTGTTACACAAGAACTGATAGTTTGGACAAGCCCTGGATTTAGGAAGAGATTCCACAAATTCCTGAACAAATTCCATATCAAACCCGATTCTGTCCGGATACAACCATTCTTTAAGTAATGCACAAGTTGATTCCACATCATTCTCCTTTTCTATAAACCGTGGTACCTTAGGTCCATTTGATGAGCAAAACTTAGCCAATAGATCAAAAGGACTATCAGTGCGCTGACGTCCACTTTCATAGTCAAATGAAGATTTTTCACTACTGTGAGTGCAGAATAATACCAAATGGCCATGCTCCTTGTACATTTTTTCACAAGCTTCCATCATAGCACAACAAACCATCCTCCAGACTGAGGAAGGTGATGTTCCTTCATAACTGAAGTCACCAATTTTGTCATACATATTTGCATCATTAGTCGGTGCCCAACTGAAAGACCCAGGATCTGACAGTACAGCTGGCACTGTCATATTCGAAGTTTGTACATTAGTGCACCCTAAACTCTCTTTACCCTCCATATCATTACCGAGACATGATAAGAAATCTTGATTCGCCTCAGAGAAATCTGATAAGAGCATAGAAATATTATCATCAGCATCATTAGTAGTATCTTCAATCGAACCACTACCTTCCCTTGTTTCTATTGTATCAGCCTTTCTAACAACATTTGGGCACACTGTGGTTGATGCATCCGGAAGTTGGAATGCTGAACATGGTAACCTTCTCATCTTAAACAAAGGTCCAAAATTTCCTCCATCAATCACTTCACACTCAAACAGTGAACCAGTAACTCTATCATGCCAGTAAGATGTAAACCCAACCGGCCATATCTGGTAGGAATTATGGTAACTTGTCCGATTATCAATTTCTCCCAAGCTGGTAATGAAAAAATCACTACATTGAACAGGTAGGGCAACCTAGAGTTTCACCACAACAAATGCATGTAGTTCAAATCAGTATCAAAAGAAAATACACTTAACTCTGGGACTCAAAAAAATGTACTGTCAAATAACAGTGACATATAAAATGTGCATTGAATGGTGAAGCAGAATCTGAAATGGACAAAGCAAGATACTCACTGTATGATGATGTGGCTGATGATTACTGTTCTCCATAAGAAATTTTGGAGGCTTTAAGGAACTTCTGTTTTCACTAGGACTCTGTTCGATTGCGTTGTTAAAAAATGATGGATCCATAGAAATGCCAGCACTTCCTAACTCATGGTTCTCAGCAACCTTGGGTAATGTTGATGTTTGTGGAAGATCTCTTCTTCGGCGTAAATTAACTGACCTTTGCGGTACGTTTCCATCAGCATTTAAATCTCGGTCCATGGAAGTAAAATTTTGTCTCATGCCAAGACACTGGGCAAGATCAAATGCTGGCATAAACTGCATTCCATCTACAACAACAACAATGTGTAATAATTAGTACAAATTGCACCAATATTCACACTTGAAACCATATGTTTATAATATATGCAACTGAACACCATGCAGTTCACTTAAAAAGTTAGTAAAACGCCAAATGTTTTTGGAAGCCAGAAACCATACGGAAGTGGGCACACAATGGCTAGGCACTGAACATACTCACTGAAAGGATTTAAGCTTCAGAGTTAGCACTACAAATCCCTGTCTAAAAGCCTCTTTAATAAACAGAGATAGATATAGCTGTCTAAAAAGCTAACAAACAACAAATCTCACTTGCATCAAATAAAAGTAAATGATTGATCTGTTATACTTACCATAAAGAGTAGTATTCTGCAAGTGAACCCCCTCAAAATGTGGCAAGTTGGCAACTGTCAACTGAGGTCCATCGGAGATATTTTGCCTGCGGAAGTCACAAGAACATATTAACCACCTTATGATAATAGTGTCTGTATGATTAGGCTAGAACTTAGCAGAAAGCTTCTACCGAGTTCACGAGCATTGTTACTGTCAGAGTAACCAAAGACATTCCAGCTTGTAGAACATAATTGCTAGTTTGGTAAGAAAGAGGACCTAAAGTTTAAACAAGTTACATCCAAAGATAGCAAATGGAATATCAGGAAATCAAAAGTGCCTTCTTTGAATGGATGTTTCAAGTAAATGATGATCATAGCACAAACCGGACTGACAAGAAAAAACAGCTAGCATGGCAATGACAAGGAGTGCTCCGTAATAATAATGATGATGATAAAAGCTACTATAGTGAATGCAAGACTTCCAATTCTGGATATTAATTTGTTTAAATTTTTCTGTCTGGACAAAAGGGCGTTCCTAGTGTAGAGAGCTCCCGCTCTGTGCGGGGTCTGGGGAAGGGTGTCAGTGGCGAGCCTTACCCTTGAACAATAAAAAAATAGGGACAAGATGTGCACTATAGTTAAATATTAGGAAAACAAAGGTCGTGTCTCTGAACTTGAAGAAACTATCCATTACATTCCAGTACCAAGTTATTTGTGTCAACCGTCAACCAAGCCTTTAAGAAATTAGCAACTAACAGTGATGATGATATGGTTGTCGTCGCCACTAGGCTGCAAATCATCACTAACTGTGGGGGATTGGTGTTGGATTTGCAGATAGGCCACTATAAATAGGTTGTCTTCTGGAAACGCTAAATCCCCCACTTTACACTTGCAAAATCTGACTCATCCCATTACAGAACCCCCACTGTTGGCAAGATTTACCCACTAAAACAAGCAGATAAGGCAACTAATTGAACTTTTTACATGGATCAGATCCACGGAAAGCTCTCTCAAGTTGACAAAATCTTAGTAATGCTGTAATACCAGTGATATGATGCAAGTTTAAACACCTCACACAGATACTCTGAATTTAGTTTTAACCCTAAAATGCGCATCGCAAACTACAGCCCCCTTATTCCCCACCCTCGCCCATAATTAGTGTCTCCCTGGGTCGATGGGGCTGAGTAACTGGGATCAAGAAACGCAGTGCCCTACTTGTGAAGGTAGGGACGAGATTGTTCCTGCGTTCCCAGAACAGGGGCGATATTCCTAGGACGACGAACACAGATTGATCCCGTTTTCTGGTGACTATGCTCACACCCCAGATCTGATTAGAAAACAAAATTATGCTTAGATCTATACCTCAAGATGAACCGATTTGCAGATCTACAACTTCCCTGTTGACCGAAGCAGGATTGCGGCGCTGATTAGGAGCAGGGGAGGAGAGGGCAGAATAGTTAGGGGTTCTGTGTAATTCTTAGGTTTTCTTTCTATCAAGGAGAGAGGGCATAGGGTATATATAGAGGGGAAAGCCGGTGTATAGACTCAGTCTACCAGCTCAATATAAAGCGAGAGAAAACGCCTTAATTAAATAATATTTTATTGACAAATTCCAGGTCACCAATTCAATCAAGTATATCTGATGAGGCCCGCCAAATCTCCAGAGTTACAATGGTTAGACCATTGAAGTCTGGGGGTCGATGAAACCCCCATCCCAGCCCAGGTTCGAAGGCTGGCACAAACTTCTTTAGAACAAAATCAGTGGGGAAATCTCCGCCTGGTCAAGTTTTTTTTTTTTAATCTGATGAGGCCTGGTTGTGTACAAGAAATAAATATAAGGACCTGATTGAACAAATTCGGTGTATGGACACCTTTACAACAATTTTGATGTTAGAACACCTGGTTGAACAATCATGTCACAATGACACCTTATTAAAGTTCTTTCTGTGCAACAGAACTGAGCTGTGTTTCCCTAAGGACCCAAATGAGATGTACCAATTTGATCAGGAATTTTACATCAAAAGCACATGTCTAAGGGCTAACAGCACTAATGTTGATATTGAAACAAGGAAAAACAATATTGCTATCTTAGAACCACTGAGTGATAACAGTACATGACCATGCCATCGTTCTAACATGTGAATATGATTCAATCACCACAATAATGGATGGTATCCTTTGATGTTGATAAAATTAAAATAGAAACGGAATAGGCAGAAGGATCCATCACTCAGCAACATGCATATTAGAAAAAGTGAAATGTGGGACCTATCTGTGTGGCCTAAATTAAGTGGCATGCCGGCCCGTCCATGGGTAAGCACATAGGAGGTACTTGATCCCACCAAATTCCAACTCATGCAAATACCATGAGAATGGAAATAACTGCAAGGCTTGGGACCTTCCAAAACCAGAATGCAGAACAGCAAAAATCAGGCATGAATAGGTTTAAAAATTTCAAGATTCATTTGTGTTTATGGAAAAAGACAATCAAGAAAATAACAGTTTTCTGTACAACCTAACTGGCACAGTTAAAAATACTGGAACTGTAAACAGTAAGTGTTTGTAGCTTATTTTGAGCGACTACCCACTTGATTTTGATTCAGCTATAACAGTAAGTGTTTGTGCGTACTTGTTACTTCCACTCCCATGGCTTATTGTGTTTTGCTTAGAACAGAACATTCAGTACTGGGTCGCTTAGAACAGAACATTCAGTACTGGGTCATTCCAGTAATCGAGTGTACCATTCTGGTGTATTGTAAAATGAAAATGATCAAGTGTACCACACTGGTGTATTGTAAAATGATAAATAATGTCACAATATACTATATGAATCAAATCCATAAACTACTCACATGTATATTATTCAAGTGACACTATTTTTTTAGTAAAAATCATGAAATGGAAAGTAGGCAACTAGGCATCTAAGTTCCTTTGCAGGAGACATAATTGCCCTTGTTAACTAATATGGGAGCAAATAGAGGATGGAAGTGGAACTATGACCAGAAAGGTAACAGTATCAGATCCATCCACCTCATTTTCTACATTTAGCTCCGCCTAAGATTATATGATTATTACAAACCTGTAGGGGGCTTAGGAGCTATATACTTCCAGCGGCAGTAGGGGGGGCTCGAGCCCCGGCTGACCCGGTGTTAGATCCGCCCCTGAATGGAAAGGAACTTAACGGCTGAAGGGGCTCTAGTATTGTTGCCTTGTGGACCTTGCATGGCTCAGACCATGACAACTCCAAAGGATTTATCTTACAAATAGATTAATGTTTCCAATGTCTACAAACAATAATTATAGAGCAACCTTGGGGAAAAAAGGTTCGATGTCATAAAGTAACATGGGAGACTCAATCAGAAGAAAGACTCAAGCACAACCAGTTTCCTAATTAGTTTCTGTACTGGGTGTTTCAAATGTCTACATGGTCCTTTACTGCTTGGTCACACTAGAGTGCCGGTGAACCACATGGCCTCTAGTGTGGTCATTAGCTCTAGTGTAGAACTGGAGAATAATGGCATAAAGGCCATGATTGTTCTACAAAAAGCTTAGCTTAAGTCCAAAAGGAACAAATAGCTATCTCTCGAGATTCATTACGCTTGTTTGATGCATGGAGACTTAGGAGAAAGATTGATGGTCCCTTGACCAAAATGGGGCGACCTACTTTCATCACAAAGATCATCGTCAGTATCATCAAATGTGCTCACAATGATCTCCATAGCATAGGTCATAATCCTAGCCTTTGATTGCAATACACCACAACGTATCTCGCTACAAGCTTACTTTGGCACAATAACTACCACTTTGCGGCAATTGCAAATGGGCTTCAACTTTGGGCCGCATTAGCTAAGGCTCGATATGACACATTTACGACCTCATCATCCCTAATTGAGTTCTTATAGAAGTTGACATCGTTAATTACTACGATAAGCTCGAATATCCAAACTATGATGGCAAAGACGACTTAATGGATTCAATGGACCCAAATAGAAGTTGTCATGGCTATGTTATATGGAGCAGAATGTTGGCCTACAAAGATTCGACATGTTCAACAACTGAGTGTTGCAGAAATGCGTATGTTGCGATGGATTTGCGGTCACACAAGAATGGACCGAGTTCGGAACGATGATATACGTGACTGCCTAGAGGTAGCACCAATTGAAGAAAAGCTTGTCCAACATCGGTTGAGGTGGTTTGGCCATGTCCAAAGGAGACCTCCAGAGGCACCAGTGCATTGTGGAGTCCTAAGCCAAGCTAATAATATGAGGAGAGGTAGAGGAAGACCGAAATTGACATGGGGGGAGGCAATAAAAAGATATTTGAAAGCTTGGGATATACCTAGAGATCTATGTTTGAATAGAAGTACATGGAAAGCAGCTATTGAAGTGCCTGAACCGTGACTTGGGACTCTTGGTGGGTTTCAACTCTAGCCTACCCCAACTTGCTTGGGACTGAAAGGCTATGTTGTTGTTGTTGTTGATACAACAGAGGAAGGCAACAAGGTGTTCTTAGCTGCATATGCCATATCGTTAGCAATACCCAATAGTCGTAGACTAAATAGGGAATTTTGTAGCTAGAACTCTCAAAAGTGTGGTTTGGTATACAACACACCACACTCATCAATTTGTTTTGTGTCACACCATGAAAATGTGGATTTGTCTACAGCACACGGCACGGATTAAAACTCTTTTCTACTCGTGAGAGAGAGGTAGGTCGTACCAGCTTCTCTCGAGTTGTACTGGTTAGAGCAGTGTGTTTGGGGCCTCCCTTTGCCGGTCCGCGTTTGAATTCTACTACAACTTCTTATTGCAATGTCTAGGGGTGTTCCCCCCTGTGGTCGAGTTTTTTTAGGTAGGTCATTAATTAACATTTATGCCCTTCAAGGTGGATTGCTGCCAATTCATCAATGTTAGATCTCTCAATGAGGCAAGCCCACTTGCATCCCTATTGACCACTATTGACCATGGAGGTCAATAGGAAGAGGAGGCGTGCAAGAGGAGTCGCACAATTTGTATCTTGCCAAAGTCCACCCACAAGGGGCGAGCTCTGCCTCCTTGAGCCACTCTCCACAAGAGGCCACGTCTTGTCGGACCACCAATCAGCACAACAATCATGTGTTAGGGCCGCCTACCGTGTCGGGCAGCACAACAATCAGCAAGGCGAAGGAGCGTGCGGTGGCTTATGGGCAAGAAAAGATGTCTTATGGGTGGCTTCAAGGTGGGTCGGAGATTTGACCCCCTTAGGCACTTAGCTAGACTCAAACAGACTTGTACCATGGTGGATTATTAAGTTGAGCTCCAAGTTTTGATATGAAAGGCTAAAACAAACTATAACAAGTAGTCCAAGTGTTCAAACAGAGAGATTCATCTCAAGGCTTAACGCATAGAGACATCAAGGCTTCAGAATCCTCGATTTACATATGAACATGAGTTATGCTCAAACATATAAACAATGAGCTTTAGTCACTGGTTCGCTGGCTTCACCACAATTAAAACAAATAGATAATTGGATGTTTGCAACAAGCAAATCACATAGGGGTTGCAATAGATGCAAAGACAGCTAATTGAAGTTTGCGGAAAGCCAACACATGTTGCATTTCTTTGATCTCCCATATAGTGAAGCCAACACGATCTTGCATTTCTTCGATCTCCCATATAGTGAAGCCAACACGATGTTGCATTTCTTTGATCTCCCGTGTAATGTAAAGCTAGGTACAATCACATAGATAACTTTACACTCACAAGAGATATATTAGGCATACTACGGTACCAATAGATCTTGATCTCCGAGAAATTAGGGCATGTTTAGTTGTGTAGGAAAACATTAACGCTCATGTGCAACCGCATCGACAACATCTACATACTGATTGTTATGGCATGCAGTCGCATCGACAACATCAACAAAGTGATTGACGTAGGATTCGAGAGTGACAATCGTTGTCCTCCAGAGAAGATATCGACAAATTGGGACAACATAAGGACATGCCAAACAAAAGAAATCTTGTTGCGCTAAATGTAGGGTTCTATCTCGATGAGATTGTGATTAGGTTGGCGGACATGTAAATAGCACTCAAGTCATCGTAGACGATGATAGCAGCCTTCAAAGAAGGATGGTTCAGTTCAGGAAGAAGCTACGACAACTGCTTCAACGACGCCTTGGCAAAACATAGTAAGACACCTCCACAACTAGGTCAACGAGTCATTTGCGTTTAGAGGAATACAACACCAAGTTGTCTCCAAGGTAGAGACAATATCAAGACATGGAGAACAAATATCTAATCAGCTCACCCAATCATGACCAATAAAGGAGTGGTCCATATATCGAAAGAAAGGGTACCCTAGATTCTTCGGAGAGCAACTTTCCACCAACTTGACAATCATGAGGATCCTTCATATACAATAGATCAATCACACAAGAGAACACAATGCCAATGAAGCACCGAAGACAATGACAATCCTTCGATAGGCAGTACACTAGCCTATGGAAAGAGTCATGGAGGGTTACATTTGTTGCATGAAGACCCTTATGAATCTCATCACTGAGAAAGGCATTCCTTACTTCAATTGAGAGGCGACGAGCATAAGAGTGTGAATAGTGGTTATGTAGGCAACTAGGACAAAGGTCTCATTGTTTGGCACAGCCATAGCTCCATTAAAACCATGAACCAAGGGAACTTGCAAGAGACTTAAGTGAGATTTTGAAAACACGGAATATAATAAGCTAAAAAAACATCCACACCACAAATTAGCGCCGTTGAAAGAGGATCCAATTATGGCGTCTCGAAATAAGGCCAAAGCATAAGAGGGGCAGAGTGCATACGATGCAATAGCCTGGGAGTCGACGCCCAACAATAAAACCTACAAGGGATATCATCGTGCTCCTTGCAACTTGTAGTGGAGGTTCTTGTTTGTGGTGACAATTGAAGAGAGTGCTCTGGTGCTCCCAATGCACGGTAGCGATGGATGCAAGATGGTGACACGAGGCGGCGAATGATACAAAGAGCTCAAGCCACCGATGACGTCCAACTAGGCAATATAACCTCGAGATTGAGGCGATGCCCCAACCAAAAGAGGAATCAACCAGGGTGAGTAAAGAGTACCCCGCCTTCTCTTTTGAACGCAAATGGC